TAAAAAAATATTCACGACTTTTAAAATTTTTTGTTTGATTAATTTAATTTACTTTATTGTATATAAATATTTTCTTAACGCAATTTAAAATTTAATAACTATTCATCTATCTTCAACTTAGTATATGAAAAGAGAGCTATATAAAAACAAAATGAGCAATATAAAATAAGAAGAATAAAAGATAAAATTACAAAGAATGTGACCAACAAATTTAAATAAAGACAAATTGAAAAATTGAAAAAAGGAAATATTATAAAGAAAAAAAAAATGAAAAATAAAAAGAATAAAATTTCATATTCAACCCAATGGAAAAGACTCATTGGATTGGGAATCTGACCCCATCTCAGCCTTTTAAAGCAGCCAAAAAAAAGAGAGGTGGAAAATGTTGCATACAATGGGAAATGAACACAAACCCTTCAAACCAACAATGACCCCCCTAAACAACTGCACCATCCTTTTCTTTAGTATTCAAGAGATTCATTTTAATAAATATACTTTCATAAAATCAAATTTTGACTTTATATATACATTATAATTTTTCGACGAATGAGATTCGGATGAACCCGGTACACACAGCTCCGCCTTAGTCTTAAGTCATTTCTCCAATAATTTCTTAATGATAACCCTTTTAAAATATATTGCTTCAGAAAAATCAGAAGACAAATGACACTCTCATTATATAATATATTTTTAATTTTTTACATGAAAAAGTGTCTAAAATTATCTTCAAACTATTGAAAATTGTATAAAATTATCCTCAATCCACCTATTGGCTCCCAAATACACATACCATCCACTTTTGAGTCCAATATTGATAACTTTTTTAACGAACAATCATTAAATATTTTAAATAAAATTTTTAAATACATGACAACCATTTATTGATTACCTTTTAAGTTACTTACATTAATTAACAAACCCACCCATTCTTAATTATATCCGACCCCAATCATATACACCCGTTCCAAATTAACTTAACCCAACCGATTAAATCAAATACACCTTTCGTTCCCAACATTTCATGACTTCATCTTCCAATCTGAATGGTAGATGTGTTTACAAGGCATTTTTCGAGCTTCAGATCCTAAATTGAAAACTACTTTATGAACAACGCAATGAGTCTCAAAATTTACATGATTCGAAGCTATTTGAATAATCTGCATGGATTCAATATGTGCTAACTGATCAAGTAATCGATCAAACTTAGATCCCATCAAAACTATGACATCGTTGTCCACAACGGCCGAAGACCTGATCATAGTAAACCTTTCAATCGGCATCTACCATTCTGATTGGAAGATGGAGTGAACTATTGGGAATGAAAAAGTGTATTTGATTTAATCGGTTGGGTTGAGTTAATCTGAGTTGGGTATAATTATGAATAAGTGAGTTTGTTAATTGATTTAAGTGAATTAAAATGTAACCTCATGGTATCACTGAGGTTTACTTTTAATTCTTCAATGAGACTTCCATAATGTCATCACAATATGTCTATTTACTATCTTGGTATCATTCATGATGATTGCTTCAGTCCTATTGTGAGACAACTCCATGATGATGTCGCATTATAGTTATATACATATATACTTTTGTGGTATCATTGAGGTTTGCATATGTCCTTAATGATACGAGTCATAATATATTTATATACTGTCATGATTCACGAAAGTTTGTTCTAGTTCTTTAATGAGACATTTCTTAATCATGATTAATTATTTGTTATTGTAATTTATTTATCAGTCTAAAAATAATTATTTAATAATTTTTTTTATATTTTTGTATATTTAAAAATATAAAAAAGCAAAAATATATACATTTCATTTATTTAGATTTTGATTTAAAAAAAAAACTAGTCAACTTTGATATTTTTTCTTATTTATTTATTTATTATTGTACTCTAGTTTATTTATTTATTATTGTACTCTAACATTAGGCACACCCTTTTCTGCAAATCTTGGTGAGGTTAAAATTCCTATTGTTGTTTAGCAAAAGTTTAGGCAGTACAAGAAATGGTTCAAAAGTTGATGAGTTTGAAAGAGAAGTTTTGAATTTTGAATTGGGCTATGTAGACAAATGTTAAGGTGTTAACTGTAGAATGTAAAATGAGTATAGTTAAATTTTGGTTTTCTTGATTTTACCGAATTAAATTAATTAAAAATAAAAAATCGAACCGAATAAGTGAATTTTAAAATTTTAAATTGAAACCAACCGTTCAAACCGAAAAGTGAAATCAAATTAAAAAAAGTTTAATTTGGTTAGTTTTTTCGATTTGGACCGTAATATGCCAAGCCCGCAAATTGGGCCTAAATCAAAAGGGGACAGACTCTGTAATGACTTTGGGCTAAATGAACATTTAAGGAATTATTTAAGAGTGGGCTATGGGATGGTAATTTGTTTGATTTTACTGTCCAATTAGTGTACTAAATACACACACAATATATCATGCTATTTTATTTTTTTCAGCTATTACTGACATGATCCATCTCATTACTGAATTATCATGCTATTTTATTTTTTTTCCTGTTTTTTTTGGAGCCTTGTAGGGTTTGAGCCAATTTTTCTCTACAACATGGCCTGTGCTTTCCTTAAATTTTAAAGTAAAGTATCCTATATTTTAACATAATAATGATAAAAGTAGTATTTCTTAGGATGACATAGCCTTAAAAGTGAAGGGCGAGATTCAAACGAGGAGCATAGAGTCACCAGCTATTTGCTAACTTGAAAATGTGCGTCTTAAATTGTGATATATATACACTATTACTGCTGTAACGAACTTTGTTTCTTCCTAGAATTTACTATTACTGCTGGAATTGAATTAAGATATTGTGGTTAAATATTGCAATTGAGTTTCCTATCAAATAGATGCTTACCAAACTAAAATAGAGAGATGTAGTAACTTATTACAATCCAGTTCAAAGCTACTCTTTTAAAAATCATTGTGTTTTCACAGCTTATTTATATTTGCATCATAGTGCCCATTAATGGATTAGTCATTTACATGTGGCTGGCTCTTCATGGGGCTATCAGGTGATGTAAACATAGGTTCCCTGATTTCTATCTTTTCCTCTTTATTCATTTTAAACTTTATGTTGAATTTGCTTTTATTTCCTATATCAAATTTGTGTACACTTGATAATGTGGACACTCTATCCAATAAAAATGCATGTTAGGTCTACTTAGTTTTGTGGCACCTATGTTGAGAGGCAGACTCAAGATTTAAAGTCTCTGAGTGTTAAGTAAATTTATCAATTAAATCAATTTAAGCGTTGAATCAAATTATTCATTTTTTTGATTATATGTCGACAAACCTAACAACAAAATATAAACACTAATAAGATGACAATTTATGTATTCAGACTACAAATTTCCACTCCACATTATATTCAACTGAGATCATGAAGTGAACAAAGCTAAAACTTTTAATAATAACATCATAAAATATTCATCATTTATTTACAATTGTCTCGACGAGTTCTCATATTCTGAAAGCAGTCAATGATGACATCATTACTTACATTTACAAATACATTACGCAAATCATTTAAATATTGATCACCAATGTTATTCTGCACTTCATTTTTTATGTATGCTCTCTTTACAATTGTCGTATCAACATTTAAAATTAGAGTCAACTTCACAAGTGAATGAGTTTTCACAAAATTTGCCTCAATAAATGCCTTTGTCAAATTACAAATTCCTTTCAAGTTGAAAAATTTGGAATTAATTACCTCCTCACATATGAATTATGAAAGTATCGAGTTGGTAACTCAAATCTAGAGAAAGAAAGCAACAACAACGGGCTGATTGGGCGAGGGAGGTTGATCTTTGGAGAAGAAAACAGACATGATTTTCGATTTGAAGAGAACAAAACTTTTCTTTTTAACTTTTATATCTTTAAATAAATATAAACTAATAAAAAATAAAAGAGAAGTAAAAGTTTAATAAATTAATTAGTTAAAAATAATCATTTATTAATGCTTAATAATAAATCAATAACAATTAGAAACAAAAATAAAAAATAAAAAATTGTAACCAACAAGATTTGATCCCGCAACCTCTGCAGACAATATATGACCCTTTGCCACAGGCACCACAAAGTACTTTGTATCATTGGGTGGCAAATTATTTATATGTTATATGTATATATACACCCATATATAGTTTCTGTCAAAACTCGTGGGTGGCATGGCACCCCAATGAGCCTTCATAGATCCGCCTCTGCCTATGTTACTCGAACTTTTAAAAAATGTAAATGACTGCATGTCGAATTCTCAAATACGACACGAATACAACATGAAAAGTAGAGAATCCATGCAACTTAATGTAGCACTGCACTCTATTATGAGATGGTGAATCATTCTCCTTCCACCTTTTTTCCCCCTCTCCCTTCTTTTGTTCACATCAGTGTGTCCGATTGAACTTGACACACGTCCTATGGTTTTTCTGTGTGCCTTTTTAATATTTTCTAAATAAAAACGACTTCCAAGATTTTTTATTGCACAAAGTGTTCAAAATTTTGAGAATTAGTTGTTTTCTTACTTTATAATTTTTCTTTACTTTCAATTACATAATATATAACTTTATTATTATTATTTTCATGGATTTTGTGTTTCGAATTTAACCTTTGATAATTTTTAAGATCTAATGGAGCTCAAAATATTTTTTTTCAGATTGCGGAAAAAAATAATTTGGCTCAAATTTGTCTATTAATATAGCATGAAAATTATTACACCCCTAAAATTGTTTACTACTTAGAATATTATACAGTCATTTGACACTAACAAAATTCTTATAAATTCTAACAATAACATAAAAAATTTACTCTCTATATCACAATTTGTTTATTGCTGAGAAAACTTTTAAGTTCATACGTATAAATTAGTTTAGTTTAATTTGATATAATTACCTAATTAATCTATTTGGCCCACATAAATCAAACATATAACCCCAACTCCCCAAAATACCCCTACTATGCCAAACAGGAGCAGATCTTTCTATAACCCAAAATTCAGTTGATTTAGGGTTTCACGTACAACTATGTCGATGCCGTGTGATTGTGGAAGGACTGTAAAGGAATCTCCACCGGAGAAGAAATTGAAACTGGATGCGGAGGTTGATGGAGATCAAAACGGGAATGAAGAATCTTCCGGTTATGATTCCGATGATTGGACTACTTGGCCAAATAAGGACGCCTTTATCAAGTACTTTCAACAAGTAAACGAGAGCGATGTATGTTCATTCTTACCATTCCTTTTCCTTATTACACTTATCACAATTGCCATTAAAATTGTATGTAGTAATTTAAAGTAGAGTGTACGCATACGTTACCCTCTATAATGTTGTTTCCGATAGACCATCTGCCAAAGGAAAAACATTTTAAAAGCAGGTCGAAAGAGGAAATACAACTTTATGTTAGAATATGCTTTTATTTTTGTATCGTTTTGTGCCTAGAGATGTCTGTGTGTTTTACATGAATCCCTCTTTCAATATGCAATTTTTTTTCTGTATATGGCTCAAGACACTATGGAATTTTATGTGCTAACACTCCGATAATGCATTCCTCCTTTCTGGGTCATTCAACATCTATGTGCGGTAAAAAGCTGGTTAAACTCAATTATTTTTTAAAGGGGTATGTTTGACCTACATTCTCTTGAATTGAATATCTGACGGGTAAGAAACTTTTAGTCATATATATCTGTGTTTGTGTTTGAAATTTGAAGGAAAAATTACCCTCCAATTATTGGAAATGGAGCCGATATATACCCTCCGTTTGAGTTTGGATGCAAAATTACCCTCACTGTTACACAATTGGATCAATATTATACCCTCCAGTTATTGAAAGTGTTCTTTTTTGTGTGACAACTGAAATGTTGGAAATTCATTACAACTTCTCTTTACCTGTTTATCATCTTGTCTGCACAGACATACATACATACATATGTGCATGCATAACTTGTGTATATGGCAGAATCTGCTCCATGAACAATACACATTCTGTTGTTGTACAAGCAACTATCGAATTTGTGATTATATATTACTCTCTTTGTTCAGATCACTCATAATTCAAATGCTGAATTATGCCCTAAAATATAAACCTTTTGACTCTGTTGATATTCTCATCTCGTTGTTTGTATGTATCTTAACAGGGCTTTGACTTTGACGAATACCCTGGGTCGTCCATGTATACACCCATCCGCCCCCTTCTAAAATTTGAAGGATTACCTAAGTTTGCTGATGAAATCAAGGGTTACGCTTCAATGGCAATCAAGCATTACTTTGGCGATGATGTATGATCTATATCTTGTTATTAATTTGCCCATTTATGTTGTGTAATTATTCTAAAGTATTGACTATTATTTGTAGGGGAAGGAACGCAATGTTACGAAGATTGTAAAGATAAATGCAGGTGGTCCTCGTGACGTTACCTATTACATTACCTTTAGAATTGATAATGAAGGGAAGGAAGAAACTTTTCAAGCTAAGGTGCAACTCCCAATTGGGGGAACAATAGAATTTCCAATTTGCAGGCGCAAGGATTAACTTCTCCCCTCATGTACAAAAACTTTGGTCTCCGGTTTACTATAGTGAATTAGTTGAAGACTTAAAATATTGTTCTTTGTTTCAATTCTCTCTTTTTTTACGCTTTTCTATATCCCAAGACCACACTATTTATAGGTGAAAAATTCTTACTAGCAATGAATAGAAAAATAACGAGGAAGATAATAGGATAAACGAATGGCCTAAAGCTTACATAAATTACCAAAATAAAGAGGTAGAATTATGGGTGAAATGATGAGTTGGTGGTTATAAAAATTACTAACAACTAATGACCACATTCTACCACAATTGATGAGAGTAAAGAGGCATCAATGAACATAACATGATACATAATGTGACTTATGATACATTTTTATTAATATTAAAATGTCACACTAACAAATTCTCTTTATTATAATTATCTTCACCCCTAATGTCTTTGCTTATATTAGGTTAATGATGAAAAATGTCAAGTTTAGCTAGTGACCAGTAATTTGTGCACAAACTGATAGAACTTGACATTTTTAGTATGCTAGATATTTGCTTTTGTATCAAATAGTATGCTAGTAATTTGTGCCTAAAACCATTAAATTGAATATAATCTATCAGTTTTGAATAAGTATTAGTAGCACATAATGTTAGGTAGATTAATTGCAAGTAGAAAATATCTAGCATACTATTTGATACAAAAGCAACCAACTGATTTTGCATTATTTTCACAGCTTGAATGTACAATATATTGAACCTACGGGATTCATCCTCAACTATTATTATCAAGAAAAAAAATCCTAAACCGTTACAAAATCGGTAACCCGATAAAAATAAAATCTAAATTGTTATCAAACCGTTAAACCAATAATTCATTACCGAAAAGTAATACAACATTTTATCGATTCAGATTATCAAATTCGATTTGATTTTAGACAACTCTAGCTAGGGTGATGTGCATGTTGTCTTATTCTATCTTGAGAACAAATGTATCAAGATTGTTTTCAACAGACTCTCGACTCAAGTAAAACATATTAGAAATCACGTAACAAATATACATGAAGAAGTTATACTGAAAATAACAAAGAAAAAAATTGTAACAACAATAAATAATAAGATAATAAAAGCTAAGGAGATAACATGTGATTTAATTAAAAACAGTGAAATAACTACCATATATATGCTACATACATAACAACATAGAGTAAGTAGTCCACATTTTAATGAAAGCCTAAAAACATGCATTGTTTCTTTCTGTTTTTGTTAGGTCTTTTTTTATAGTTAAAAAGGAAATTGGAGCAGAAGACAAAGGTTGTTCACAATCAGTCTCAATAATATTACTCTCTGTATTCTCCGTTTTTCCCAATGTACAACATAAAATGTAGTGGAGAAGTTGTTTTCAATCTATCCACGACTCAAAAAAAGTGTAATTAACATAAGATTGTAAGAAAACTAAATTTTTTAAAAGTTAATCAACATGAATAATGCAAATGAAATGACAATAAATAGAAAAAATTAAGAGTATAAAATACTACATAAATACTAATTAATATACATAAAATACGATAACACTCGATTACCTACTACTAGTTTCTCTAGAATTATTTAACTATATCAAAATTCAAATAAGTTTATATAAACAACAAGAGAGTTCCTGAAAAACCATTCCAATAATAAAATAAAAAAGTTCAACAAAATGATAATTTGATTGGAATAAAATGGTACAAAGTCCCGAACAAAAGTTGAAAATCGTACAACGTGATCATTACCATATATTAGGGATAATTTCAGAAATTTCCCCTCAAGTTTGACCTTATAATAGTAACCTTCCTTGTGGTTTTAGTTATTACGTTCACCTTCCATATTATGATATTTTTATAACGAAACTAATATAAATGTTAAATTCTCTATAATATTCCAAAACTACCCTTATTTGCCACTCTTTGCTAGAATTGTAGGTTCTTAAATCTAAACACCTTCTCAATTTTTTTAAAGTGAAAAGTAATTCAAAACTCATGCCAAACACCCTCTTACGAATTTTCAAATACAAAAATAGAAATAATATATTTTGCCGAAAATGACCCTTAATAACATTGCATTTACAATAAGTAAAATGTATTTATTTTTGCAACAAAAAGAAAACATTGTATTGAATGCAGAGGTGGATCCAAAATCTGCATTTTATGTGTTCTATGTCGGGGCTCTACCACAACTCATTTGATTTATAGAGGTCTAAATTCTATTTTAAAACTAATTTAGCATATTTTTTAACATCACAAAATTACTATGTTTGGACGAATCCATGTCTAATGCACTTGGTCAACACATTAGTTGTGGCCTAGAGAACCAAGTAAGGCCCAAATTAACCAACCAACAAGATTAAGATTCAACCAAAACCTAACAAAGAAGAACAGATAAACAATAATTACTTCAGTAACACATTGACTTGCACTAAAAACTGCTAATAATGATTTGTTATTTTCTTATGCAAGCATTCACATTGTTAAGACTAATGCCAAGAAAGAGAAATAAGAATTTGTTTGGTGCATTGTTTTTTTTTGGATTAGTTCGATACCGTTTGTTAAGGTGGATTAGTTCCAACAACAGTATGTGCCGGAGCTATTTTACACGTTTTTCTTTCAAATTAGGAGTTGTGGCTTGGTGAAGCAAGTAATACTGAAAGTAACCAACCAACAAAATTAAGATTTAACCAAAACCTAACAAAGAATAATAAATAAGCAATAATTACTTCAGTAACACATTAACATACACAAAGAACTGCTAATAATAATCTCTTATTTTCTTATATAAGCATTCACATTGTTAAGACTAATGCCAAGGAAAAGAAATAAGAACTTACTTAGTGCATTGTTTTGTTGTATAATTAATAAATTTTCTATTATTTGAAACAAGAAGTAAGCCGACAAAGCAATTGTCAAGGCTACATCGAAGGCGGTTAAGGACAAAAGATTGACTTAGAGGGATGAAGGAAGTGAAAGAAGTTGAAAATTTGTGGTCACTTTTGGGGACCACGTAAATAAAAAGACTAAAACTTCAAAAGTTTAAGTATTTGGATTAATTGTTTTGACTACTTTGATGACTGAAAGTTAAGGTATTTGGATTGATAATTTTGACTACTTTGATGACTAAGATTCAGGAATAGTTTAGGGCTTTGGATTAATTATTTTGCAACTTTGACAACTATTTCATTCATAGACTGTTTCAGGTCTACAATCTTTAGTCTCTTACATGATCATAATAGTTTTTATGATTCTCTTATAGCGGCTTTCTTATAAATAAGTTAATTGATCAGATCTTATTAAAATTTATATATTAATTTACTAAAAATATAGTGACCAATATGTACCTATATTAAATGGTAAAAAAAATTATTCTAGGCAGAACATGCTCTAAATCGGTTCACCCAACATGGACACAAGAATATTAAGTTAAAAATAATAATTTTGTAATAGTCAAACTTGAGGAGAATTTTTAGGCCCAAATCGATTACTTTAAATAGAAAAGTAAATATGTTTTTGATGAAGATTTTTAGGCCCAAATCGACTACTTTAGATACAAAAGAAACTATATTGTTAATGAAGATGTTTAGACCCAAAATGACTACTTTAAATAGAAAAGAAACTATGTTGTTAACGAGAATTTTTAGGTCCAAATCGACTACTTTAGTTAGAAAAGAAACTTAGTATTTTGCATAATCACCCGTAGCGGGCCTGTTGTGGTACTCTGACATTGTAAAAAAAGCATGTCTTGCTTCTCAAATTTTCCTCATGATCCCGCAGGCTTGTTGTGGTACTCTGACATTAAAAATCATCTTAGCTTGCATATTAGTGTATTAATGCTCTTTGTGTAAATAAGTGATACTTCTTGATGAATTTTTCAAAAACAGGGATGTAATTTTCTTTACTTTCTTTTTAGTGTTGTATTCATTCCATTTATATTAATAGGAATTTACATTGTTTATGTTAGTTAGTCTTGTATGTAAGCACACAGGTACTTAGTTACATACGTACTTGTCAAAAAAATAATTCAAATGGCAGTAATCAAAGTTAATGATAGAGTATAAAATGTATTGACAAATGTGCATTTTGCTACTAATTCTCAGTATTGGATTTTGTGAAGTCAAGAAAAGAAGCTCTATACAGAATTGAGTCCTAGAAACAAAACTTTTGCAGCTATACAAATAATGTAGGTCATAGGATGTCTTTAACTCATCTTTTAGATTTAGAAAAACCTTGTGACTGCCCATTTATGAAAATTAAATATGAGTTATCTAAAAACAAAATCAATTAAAATCTCGAAGATGTTGAACTTCCTTAGAATTATGTAAGGAAAATTCAAGAAAACCTATCATATGCTTTGGTAATAATGTATAGCTTGATAAACCTAGTAATTTAATCTGCTAATGTATAGTTGTTAATGCAAACTAATTGGTCCTGGGTGGGAAAAGAATGTCTCTGTGTTGTGGAGGATCAGGGAAAATGCTGTGAGTTGATAAATTCAAATTTAACACTTGCATTTTCATTTTATACATTTTGTCTATTACTATCTTACAAGTTTTTGTTTGTATGATTCTTTTGTTCATTAAAGGGGCATGTTGGGCATTTGTCGCGGCGGAAGCCATTACTGCCTTATACCACATTAAGTTGAAAAAGATGAAATTGTTGTCAAAGCAACATGTTATTGATTGCTTGTTAAGTGTATTCAAAACGTCAAAAAACATTCGATACCACGAAGAAACAGGGTGCTACACCAATCACTACAACAATTACTATCAATTTGCAATGAATGAAGGAGTTTATTCTGATGCTTCATATCCATATGTTGACAAGAGGGGAAATTGTCGTAACCTACCGAACGAGGTAAGCACATACTATTGAATTTGTTGTTGGGTTGAATATTCTGGTTTATGTTACATCTTTTAAATTGTGTAGGAGAAAACAAAAATTAAGGGGTTTAAAAAGGTTGACAATCTTGACATGGGCAAAAAAGGAATTGAAGAGCTAATTCGAAAGCAACCAATTAGTGGATGTGTAAAATTGGTGGACAGCTTTCAGGGGCATTTAGGAAAGGTAAGAAGAACTCAATTGATCGACTTTTTGTGTTTATGTTTTCTTTAATCTAATTTCATTTATGTTGATAGGATATCTACATGGACCAAATTGAAAAGGAAATTCACTTTGAAAAGTTGCTCAAAAGTGGAAATCAATCCTCTGTTGAACGTCATGTAGTGTTTATCGTATGCTTTGGTGTTGAGAACGGCATAGAATATTACTTGATTAAAAATAACTAGGGAGTAAAGTGGGGTTGAGAGGAGCGTTGTTTCAAGCTTATCTTTTCCGGTTCTTGATGACTAGATAAATAGTCTTTGATTCCTGGTTGGGCTCGGTTAACTAGTTCTCTACTATTGTTTTGTGCTACATTAACAGTAGTTATTTGTAGAGAAGCTTTGAAGTTCAGCTAACTGATTAACTAGTGTGTTTTTACTGCTTTTTGTGCTATTGTTGCAGCTCTTGGTTGAAAATTATGACCATATATGTAATGATAAATTTGTTGTTCATGTGTCATGTGTTTGCATCTTATATTAATTTATGAAACAACCTCAATGAAAGGCTACTAAAAATACTCGATCCATTTTTAACTGAAACGATGTGTATGTTAATGATCAGTTGATCATGACAATCTTGCTCTTATTATGTTAGATATTGATAGAATGCGTGCGTCCACTATCAGTCAACGGACCAGGTCCTTTGACTCAGCAAGAACAGTAATGAAGAGTAGACAATAAAGAGAACACAACACAAGCAGTTTACATGGAAACCTCTTTGCTCAAGGGAGTAAAACCACAACCTGTCTTATAGGATTTTCAATTGTTTCCACTAATCTCTTCAAGCAAAAGTGAAATACAGTTACAACCAAAGTGAAAAGAGGTTATTAATCTCATAACTAAGTAATAACTCTATTACTTACTGAGCCTAAGCAGATACCACACTGCCCACTAAGCTATCACCACTAGACAACTTAGAATTCAACTAAGCAGATACCACACTGCCCACTAAATCAACTAACTCCTAGATGACTTAGAATTTTACTAAGCAGTAAATAATGTTGCCTACTAAATCAGTTAGCCTTAACTGATTTAGACTTTTACAAACGAACACAAGATCTGAATCCTTTATAGATTAGGAACAAATTTACAATGTTAGTACTGAAGATATAATCCTAAAACAACTAGACAGCTTCCAGCTCTATCAGGTCCCTATTGTTCTTGAGGATGATACTTCTCTTGAGTGTTAGCCTTTGCAAAAGTTCTTGAGAGTTTTCAAGTTGCAAAAACTAAGGTTGTGTCTATTGGACATATCCTGTATGAAGAATAGACGCAATCTTCGAGGCCATACCATTGGCCAAGGTTTCTACCATAGTTGGAGACTGTGCACCAACCAATTGTACTTTTTACAGCCTGACATTTGTGTGATATTGACACCAGGATCAGGTCCCTTTACAAGGTTCCATGATTTTGTCAAATCACCAAAACTGCAAATAACAATTTCCCAATTTTTGATGATGACAAACTCCACACAAATGCCTTCATTTCCATTCCCCTTGTCAATCAGACCCTTATTCATTCCCCCTATCAATCAGACTTTCCGCCAACCTACGCAACCAACATTTTAATTTTCCCCCCTTTTTGGCATCATAAAAAAAGAGTGCAGTAAACCAGCAAAACAAATAGGATTGCTAAGTAAGATCATGACCAAAGGCAACACCAAGATGGTTATAAAAACATGAATAGAAATAAATCAGTCACAACAAAACAAGAATCAACTTTATTGCACAAAAATCAGCAGTCAATACATTAAATTTAAACTGACATAGAGAACCCCGGACACTGTCAACACAAAGGAAAGACACAGGAAGGGACAGAGAAGAACTATGAGGAAGGAGGTTGATGTGAGAGGGACTTAATAACAAGAGTAAGCTTAGCATTTGCTTCATCATTATCCTTGATCAATTTCTCTTGTAAGGCAACATTTTGAGCCAGGATCACATTATTCTTCTTCCTCAGCTTGTTGACCTCTGCAGTACCAGGTCCCTTAGACTGTACTTTGAGTAACTCAGCCTTCAATAGGGCAATCTCCACATCTTTGTTGCTCACACGCACAGTCATCTCCTCCAGCTCGTGCTTCAACTGATCTTGTTCAATTACCAACTGAGATATCTAGCTCAGTGGACCAGTCTTTCCTTCAATGCACTCACATTCCACCAGAGTAGTTAGAGAGAAGGATTGCTTGGCAGTTCCAATTTTACCCTTTCCTACTGGAATGTTCAGATGTTGAAACACCTTGATCAATAAATAGCCATAACCCATGCCACGTTTACCCTTGTGTTCAATCACCGATTTGTACATATGCTCCATCATTAGGGCTGGAAGGTCTATGGGTTCAACCTTGCATAGTGATTCCATGATGAACATATCAGTTGCAGAAGCGACTGTCCGCTTTTCGGTCCGAAGAAGAAGCACTTTATTGACAAATTCAAACAACAGCTGGTACTCTCATTTAATGAGTTTCTTTTGAATCCTCGCACGGTGCATGTCAGGGAGTTTGGAGGATTCTTTCACAAACTCATTGGTGCAAGATTTTCTGACTACGGACCTGATCCTTTCTCTGGGTACTTCTAGTATTTGTCCCAACAGTTCCTCATCCAGATGTAAACTTTTGTCTCCTACCATGGTGTTGAGGCTACCATCCTCTGCAAATTCTACATTATAATAGAACTCTCAAACCTGCTCTTCATATAGAGCAAAAGATTTGATCTTGAACAAGTGAGTCCACGATTGAATCTCCACAAGATCATACAGAGAATCCATACCTGGCTTGGTAATGATATCAGTATCAAACACTCATCCTCCTAGAACCTTCTGTAGGCGCAGATTATTAACAATTGATTGTTTGCTTACTGCATAGTCATCTTTATTCCTTTTGGGACCTCGTTCCTGTGCAGAGTCTTGCTGGAGAACATGAAAAGTTTCTTTTTTCCTCTTTGACGGCTCCCTCCTCTTTTATGAGTCGCTTCATTTTTCCTTTTGTAGGGTTACCCTTCGTGACCGCAGATGCCTTAGATTTTCTTTTACTGGTCTTCTTCACTTGTTTTCCTTTTTCCTTTCTAACATCACCCAGGGGAGAGTCTTCTCCCACACACTTATGCTCAGAAACTTCAATGGAAACATTCACTATATCATCAGTAGGCATCTCAAAGACCGTATCACCAGATCTTCTTCTCCTTCGATTTTCTGCCGTAGTTGTTTCAGTGGACTTCATAGCATCCCCCATAAGTTTTTGAGAGACTGCTCTAGTAAAGGGCCTTTTTCTAGGGGTTTCTTCTGTGACCTTTTCTTTTCCCTTCGAGGTGATAGGGACCATTCTCCTTTGCAAGGACCACTTGAGAAGGACATTGTCCTCGTCAGTGTCACTAGGATCAGAATACTGATAGACACCAACCTCTGGAATTTGGTCAAATACGGGTTAAGAACCTTCAAGTATTTCATCCACAAAACTTCCTGCTTCTTCATTCATTACCCATTTCTCTCATTTGTGCTAGACTCTCGATAACCAGGCTTTCACTGGCGGCAAGAATATTTGACTCAGAGAACTTACTATTGGGAAGATCACCCTCAAACAGTTGGTCAAATAAAATACCTGAGTAGGGACTAGGTTGATGTGAGGGTGCAGGGTTATTAAGATCTATGGGAGTCTGGGGAGTAAGAGGACTGGCTTCTGTAATGTTGACCGGAGAGATGGTCGACATTTTCGACGGAGAAGGAGCATCAGATGATGTATAGAATGCCACTGGATCTATTTCATTTAAGAAGTCTAGCATTTTCTTCGAAGAAGACGATGACTGAGACATGTTAGAGAGAGGAGAAGACATGTATTGCAGAGAGAGAGAAATATTAGAGCTTTTGGCGGAGAGCTTTGAGAGAGAGGGAATTTGAAATGTGAAGAGATGGAGTGGAGGAAAGTTGTATAAAAAGAACTGAATCGCTGTGTCAGGTCCCTGAATATACGCGTCGCTTGGACTTAAAGCGATGGGACAACGGTCAGAATGGTCGATGACTGACACGTGGAGATCTCAACGGTTCTCATTCAACAGTTTAAATAAAATGTAGAGAATGCTAACCTTTGGAGAGGACCATGTCCCGATCTCCAGGTGTTATTCATATAGATTATAGATAGAAAATAAATATAGAATCAATAAGTTATCCATATTCGAAATTCGGAAATTACAAGTTTAAAGAGGAAAAACAAAAGGCACAGACCATGAGAGGGAAGTAATTGCACTGACAAATCCTATAATTTGCAAATTATGTATAACGAAGTATGCATCATATTTTTCTCCAGAATAAAATAATACTTAGTTCTGACAAAAAGTAGAGACAAAATTTACCTGCGGTGCTTGACATCATATTCATTGCTTCACACACCATAATATATATATATAATGTGTTGCATATATATTTTTAGCTTTTATTATAAAATTTGTGTAACAAAATAATAATTCAAAAATGTATTTTAAAAGCTAGGTCACTTGAGAAAATATTTGTTATTATGATACGGAGACACCATTTAAAATTTGTGAATTTAAAATTTGAACTTGTATTGTTTTTACTGTAATTCATTACTTTAGTTATTTATTTGCTGAAAAGAAATAACTTGAATAAGCGGACAAACACAGTTACCATCTAGCAATAAATAAGTGAAGAAAATCAATATCGTATAGCCCCATAATGGTATATAGAAATATGTCTATTGAATTTCATGCTCTAGATTACTGTAAATGCACGTAAATACCTCCAACTCTAAATACTGAATTAACTAAGAGAATTGAAATTTAATGACAAAAGAAATCTTAAAAATTATCAATAACTTATCAAATAGGATGAATAAACATATTTTTTCGACAAAATTTGCTAACAAAGCAAAATAGATGTACATTTATCAATTCAGCCCAAACATAACTTTCAAATTTGTTGTCTGATTTTATAGCTGTTTTTTTTAATAATTATAACATATCTCGTGAAATCCGTCTAGGGAGTGTAGGGTGTGCACAGATCTTACCTCAATTCAGAAGACCCTCAACTTAAGTCGAGTATAGCAAATCAGAGTAAATATGAAAAAGAAAAATGACAGTGAAGAGAATATAATATCATATAACAACTATTACGAAAATAATAACAACAACAACAACAAAATATGTAATAACCGAAACACCATAAAAACAATTGGTGGTAGAAAGCAAAAGCAAGACAATACAAGAATAAAAGTACTACTACAACAGACACCACTAAGCTTAAACCCTTTGGAAAGCAAGAGAACACTCCATTACAACCTTCTACATTAATCGGCGATCTCCATGCTTAAGCATGCATTTTCTGTAATTGATGAAATTAGTTTCGTTTTTCTTCTGAGCTTTGAAAGGCGAATTAGCTTATGTATTTGTCAATAATAATTTTACCTCATGCACATGATATTTATAAGCCAAAAGTTTGCCTAGAATTCTGTAGAAAGCTCAAAAAGTTTATGTTTGGAGAATGGAGAGACATTCTTAAAATGCGTTTTAAAAACACCTTTTTCATTTTTAGTATTTAATATAATATAATATGATATAATTATTATTTAATATTTAATTGCTTTAGATATTTTATAACATTTTTGAATTAAGATAGGGGTAAAATAGTATTTCAACTTTTACTTTTGTGACTTCCCACTTT